GGAATACAGCCTATGTCCCATATGTACTGGAAGCTGCACTCTGTTACATTCTATTACTGTGACCTTGCCGTGTCACCTTTAAATATTAAACGGCTTACATCTGTTGTAAGTAGCATTTGAAACTAAAGTTTAAGCAGATGGTACCTTGTTGGATCCAGCGTATTTCGTGCGAAACTCGACAAATCAAAAGGTTTCTTATCAGTAGTGCTCTGCGCAGGTGCAGTGACATCAGCGCGTGCACTGAAGAAGCAAAATGTCAGGGCTGCTGGAAAATTACAGCGAATTTGCAGCGAATTTGCCGCAATAGTGCTGCAAACTTTTCATTTTGCTAAGGAATTTCACTCACTTCATTTGATGCATATTGGCCGCTATGCAGGTATTATTTCGCTGTGTAAAGCAAAAACCGGGCAGCGATGACACTCAATACTTCACAGCCAGCTGCTCTAGTTTTCTGATGTTTTTTGAAATGTTTCATTTGACTCACTGGCCGTGGGCGACGGCTCTTTTCTAACCGACATGATTTAAGGCACTTCGCCTTAGCTGATTGATAAAACAGTGTATTGTCTCCATAATACAAGACAATACACGACTGAAACCCTTCCAACCCGATCTCAATTTAGAAGTTATGTACATACATTGTACATTTACTGTTACACACACGTGTTTTTTTCCAGTCAAAAGAAAATACATGATCTGCCCAAACTTAAAAAGTCTGTAAATGAGAATGCGCAATAGATAAACATTTAAAAGGCGTTCGTATATGGAATACTGATTGATTGATGTACACAATGGTCAAATGTCATCGATCATCATCAGCGGAACAACAGGTGCGCTACACGTGCATGGTACTCTATAGTGACATATACTGTATACCGGTAAAGTATGTCTTTAGAAAAAATAGCACATAATTAATACTAACGGTGAGCAACACTGGCAACCTGCTATACTATCCTTCTCACCTTTAATGTAGCCTGAAACATACATCATTTTAAAACATCATGTTTCTGTCACCTGTTTCCACCCGAGGCGATCTGTTTTAATGTATTTTATAGCTCGTTAGATCCAGTTCACTGTCATGATCAATGTCGATACACGACACCTACGCAGACCCGGGTCCCAAACTGGATTGGGCTGTCGTTTACACTCACATTATCTAAGTAAAAACCATTCAATTGAGGAGAGTTTCAGTGCATATGTTACCTGTGGCATAACGTGACCTTTAACCTTGACCTTTTTTTTTAATCTGACCTTTTTAAATTGAATTTGTCTAAAGTTTGGCCAAGATTTAAATATGAGCGTGGGAGAAGCAGCGAAAAGGAGGGGGGTCAATGACTATGTGTACCAAGTATTTTCGGTCCTGGAAGTAAATAAACTTTTGACAGTATTTGAATGTACGAAAAGAGAAAACTTAAAGTTATACCGGTACTGTACGTGTTTGAAAATTTCCAAAAATTAAATTGGCTTCCTCTACATATCCTGTAAATTCTTCTTCTCTTTTTCAATTAAGACATGAAAAAATATTCCAAAAATCATCAAATAAAAGTGCCAGATGTGATTATTTTCTTCTGTAATGCACAAGAAGACAATGCCGTCTAAATGACTGACCAGACATTCAGAACCCGTTGGATTCAATTAGAAATGTCTTAAATCATCGAATCTGAATTCATGGTCCAGTCGAAGAATGATTCGTGAGTAGGGAAAAATTGCAAAGTTTTCAAGGGAAATCCAATTTGACTGGAATATACCATACGGGATACGTTTTATATTATTTCACATTTGCTTGTCCCAAGTAAATAGGATAAAATGTTTATGGTTTAGTGTTGTAAAAATACAAACTGTATCACAGTTAGACTTTGAACGTGAGAACGGCGTGGCAGGAATGGTAGTCCTAGGAATAATAGTCCAGGTTCCCATATGATTAGTACAGGTAAGGGTTAGTTGGAGGTTAGTATAACACCCCATTTCCATAGATTAGATCGACCTACTTTATATCGACCTAACTCCCTGGGGGTTCACGCTAAATAGCTGTCAGCCGGGCGGACACGAAAGTTAATTACCTCCTTACAGCTTGACATTTAAGTCGGATTATCTGAAAGTAATCTAGTGAGACTCCCCGCGGGGATAGATCGATCTAAAATCTATGGGAATAGAGCCTATGGGACGATTGTCACAAGTACAAAATAGTAGGGACGGACTAGCGGACTTCAATTCCTGTTACACTGGTACACGTGCTGGACAATATATCTAGACAAAACTGTGAACTTCGAAATATGATGGAATTTTCCACACAGGAATTTAACAAGTCCCGCCCACGTGAACATCACGTGACATCTCAGCCCTTTGGTCTTCCGGTCTTTTTGAAAGCGAGGCTTGCATTCAATCCGACAAACATGCGTGCACAATGAAAAACCAAACTGATTTTCAATTCCAGTTTGTCTCCAATTTCAGCATTGATTCCAAACTCGTGAACAATTGGATTAGTTTCCACGAAGCCATATTTTGAACTTTCACTAGCGAAAGGGTTAAACGAAATAGGAGACGTTATACGATACTCTTTTCAGATCCTACATCTGGGATGTAATTGTAGTTGGTAAACCTAATTTTGGTTAATGTACCGTGGACATTTTACGTGTAGTTTTTGGCTCAAAATGAACGCAACTTTGAACGAATTATCAACGCCACGAATACAATAGAAAGGCTGTTGTGGCATTGTGTATTAACAAAAGATACACTTTTAAGTAGGCGAAACCTGCAATGATCGGATAAGTTTTCTAAATGCAATTACATCTGTTTTTCAAGACAGTCCAGGATTTATGACAATGGCCGTTTAAAAGGCACGTGCTCGATAGATTGTCAATAAACCAAACACGCACTTGCAATCCATCTTTAAAGGAGTGAAAAATGAAACTCGCGATGCAGCGGCTTTGGCTACTAATTGGATTTCGAGGTTTCAGTTAGTACATATTGTCATCTGCAAACGATTGATAAGTTAATGTTTTCAGATTGTTTTTTTTTTTTTTTTTTTTTTTTTTGTACTGAGACTTACGGGAACGGAGAAAAAACACAACCACTATAACAGGCGATTTTACGGAAAGAAACAAGAGGTATGTTTACATGTAGATAATGTAACTTTTTACAGTACTCTGAAACATATTTTCCCTCGAAGCATTGGCAGTCCTATACGGCACGTGACACAGAATGGACCAATCACCTTCAACGTCCTCCTCTCGGAATTATAAAATGTTGTTTTTTTTAACAAGGGATTCGGGATACGCGATGGTTTCCTCATCGCATGATCCTGAATCAAACAACTCGGCAAAGCAACCTCCAATTACCACATATAACTTCAAGTTATCAGAAAACATGTACTGATAACTTTATGTAAATACATGTAACTAAAATGAGAAAATTTATACTCTTAATTGATTATTCTTTGTGCTATGAACCGTACGTTTTCTCCTTCTGTCCGGGATTCAAATTAACCCCGGTAATTTCTAGTGACAAGAACACCTGAAGCTCACTTCTTCCACGTTTCCGTTCTCCTTTGAGCCCTCGCGGTCTCGTGGAGAACTGCGGGCTAAAGATCATATTAGATTTTAATCAAACAGCACGCATGATAAGTACTTCGAGTAATGGCTTTTTCTTTCAGCCAGCTGCAGCGTTTTTACATTTACAAGAACCGTAGCTTCCGGGAGGATTTCTTTGTTTAAAGCTAATGATGATTTAGGAACTAAAGCATTCGCCATTCATATGTTATATCTATTACAAATATTGCAATAATCGTTGTCCCGATATGGAACCATGACTGCTATCAAGCCTGTATGAATGTGAAAATATCAGACGCACTCCATAGTACACGTCCTACATGTAGATATCAATATTTTAAGTTGGAAGTCATTCTCATACTGTTTAAACCTTCCATTGACTTAGAACGATTTAGTAGTACGTAGCAGTTTCTGCCCAATGACGCAACAGACTAGCCTTGGTACATGTATTACGGCTTTCCGCCGTGAGATATCATTATACATTGTGGCCAATAAAAGAGAGACTCACATAACATCAATCTATCATTGATTTCGTTAAAATGAGTACATGATCTATCGGGCTGAAACAGAACAATCCATGCAAGCCTTTATGCCGAGAAACACGCTTGGCTATATTAACAAAATGAACAATTCAAGAAATAGGAGACCGCTTTTCTTCTGTCAGACTGGTTTCATGTGTTTCTTTACAGAACTATAGCAGTTCGCTTTGATCTATTATTAACTATAATCTGCCTTGAACAGACAATTGATATATTCATGTGATACTCGGCATGCCATACGTTTTTTAAAACAACATATAAAATGCATGCATGTGTGTGAACAGGACGAGTTAATTTCTAAAACCACAATTCTGCAAAAAGCGTGATACCAGTATCAGTCCCTCGCATATTCACCTGTATGGCATTTGATATTTCTTAATTTGCTCGAGCGAGTCGGCCATGTGTTACTTGGTATAGGAATCCTTGGAGCGTTATGTTTACTAGATATCTTGTAAAAAGTCTACTTCACCTAGATATGTCTTGGTTGTCAGGATTATTTTAATAAAATCCGAAAAGAGTGAACACTCCATGAGGTTCTAATTGTGTTTCAGTGGCTCTGATGGGAGAATCTGCACGGATCTAGCCACCAAGTGTGCAGTCATCAGGTTTTATGGATAGATAATTTCTATTATTTGTTTTGCAGAACAAACAATTTCATTAATTTACCCATTTACCCACCCATGGTTAATTGTATCAACGATCCATGTGCTAAAGCACTGCGAGCCATCATGCGATCGCAGAATGCATTATTCACGGCGAATGACATGGAATGCTGCGCTGATTATGCCACCCGCCGTGAATTCTAAATGTTTCCACATATATTTTTGGCTTAAATTGAATTGTGCACATGTAGAGGCGTATGAATACAACGCCGACAACAGAACACAATTACACAAATAAAGGAAACTCTACTTACACGAACACATGGTACGCTATGGAGGTCCAATCCTTGGGCCTTTCCAGAAAGTTGTATACTTTTGACTGAACCTTTCTGTAGTGGGGGTCCGGAGGCGGTCGGTAGGCTATCGGTTTCCCAAGAAGCGACAGTCTAGGCTGCCTAAACCTTGAATGCATCGAACCCCCATGTTTCCTTCCATGGATGTTATTAAATTCCTTCTCCACGTCGGTTCTAAGGGAATTTTTCTCCGAGTCGCCGTCATCCATGATAAATTCAACGCGCAGACGTTTGCCGTCGTTTCCTCGCCGATGGTGAGAAGATCCCTTCAAACAAGGGGCCCTGAGCGTACGCTTTTCTTTCTTCTCGTCGTGATCGTCTGCAAATTTTTGAGGTGAGCAACACTGCTCGTCTGCTGCTAGTTTCACTTCCTTCACTTTAATTCCACACGGCTCTGTCTCTGCCGCGATCGCGTTATCGTCTGCTAGATCCCAGTGGCAATTATCGCCTGCTAAGTTTGTATCCTCGAACCCCAACTGATGAGTGTTAATCTCAAAGTCGATTGCTCTGTGCAGCTCCTCTTGCTCGCGCTCGAATGTATCATTCTGCTGCTCTGAGTCGAGCAACGATCCAAGCGCCTCTAGTGACGACATTTTGACCGATTTGAAGAACAGTATCTGTTTAGTCCAGGTCTCCGTGAGGATTCTTCATTCACATCTACAGCAATTACGTGGCATGATTAGAGTCCTCCAAATCAATTTACCTGAAAAATAAATACCTCAATTGCAATTTTGTAAATATTGGAATAATAAAGAATATGGTTATGAGATTAAGACGGTGCGCGGTAATTTCAGCCCAATTTATCTTCCTTACTTGCCGGATTATTTGTGGTGTAAAATTTCAGCGTAACCCCACTTAGATAAATAATTCCAAGGAATGTAAAATACTTTCATTGCCCACAAAAACAAAATGTTTCCAAATCATTCTCAAATGTGGTGGATTATCGTCAGAACGTTTGTCGGATATGCGGTTCACACTCAATCATCTTTTTGAAAAATGAGTCCAAATGACCACTTTATATTTCCTAGCTAAATAACAAAATTGGTTGAACTCATATGGCATGGACCACAATAACAAATTACCATCCCTGAATCAGACACTTACCACGCAAAAAAACACCCAAATGACAAACTAAAAGTGTTGACTCTGGTTTGAAAACTTTGGCTTACGTGTGAACACATGTTTATCTAATGCCATGTTTGAGAAATAACAAAATGCTCGGAACGCACGTCAGTGATTAAGAAGCGGAATATCATTTTCTTTAAACTTCCGGGGGGGGATATTTTCTCTAGAACTAAATAAGACAGGAGCTGGGTGATATGCCAGAACAAATTTTCATCTCCTTGCAAATTTTCGTAGTGTAAATACCTATGTTTATATACCCTTTTTGTTAATGGTAGAAATCCACCATGTAAAAATATACGTTCCATAAAGTGAAAAATGTTTTTATCGTTTTCTCCTTCTAAAACAACAGGAAAAAGATTGTGGGCAAGAAAATGGTTTTGACCTTGACCTAGCTTTTTAGCCACACGTGCAACGATCGTCTGCCTGGGTTTTATGATCTCTCAGCACGTTCTGTTGAAAGCTGCGTTGAACGATTTTTTTCCTACAAATCCACCTGGATTTCGTCCTTACAAGCTCAATGTTTATTTATATTCGGAAATCTACATTCCATAGTTTTTGTTAAAACAGAAATACATTCGGTCTTCTCCGGAAACTTTCGGGAATGCTCTTCAGATACACATTTATTGGCTCCAGATTAGTAGTTGGTTAGTCTAATTCTGAAACATTAGACAAGCATGTGCTAATCCATGTGTATCTCTTAAGCCATATCCATAAACTTGACGTGATATAGATGTGTTAACTGAATGATAAAGATGGTGTCATTGTTGATAGGCATCTTTACTTTATAATTTTGTTTTCCGTTTTTATTTTGAGGTAATTATATATCTGAAGTCTGTTTTATCTGTATCTTAGCTTCGATGTAAAAGACTTGATTTAAAAAAATGTTAATGTTTAATAAGTTAGCACTTCGTTGCCAGTAAGTTGAAACGCTTTATATTCTACTAGTAATATGCTAATCAAAAATGAGAAATCCTCTCTGTGTGTTTTGAATTCCTTGACATGGAGTACGACTGATTATCTAAATGACTTTAATATCAGCACAATTACTACATAACAGCGCATTTTCCATTAGTTTAAAGATGCATACGAAGTCAATTTTTGGTCACAAAAGCCAACCAGATGAAAGCATATAGTTTCAAGTAGTATAACTAAGAGAATTACCAAAAGGCATTGTTTAATTTTACCCGAAAGTGATGTTTGAATAGATTTTTCTGCTAGCATTCTATGCTGCATGTCAATGGGCCAGAAAAGTAGGTCACGAAAGTAGGTTAAATTTTTGACCAAAAATTCAAAGAAAGGAGCAGTCTAAAGTTCTTTTTTGGCTGATCCAGTTATTTATTCAGTAAATCCCTTGGCATGTAGGATTTATTTGAGTCATATAAGAAACTAGTAGAAGTGGTTTATATGTGATACTGGGAATCTAGGCTCAACTGATGCTCGATTTGTATGTACCTTTAAACGACAACAAAATCAACGCACAAATGTATTCTCTCATTCATTGAATAAATATGGGTTTTTGATATAGATTACCAATGCCTTGTCTTTGACAATCTAAGCATATGACATATCGAAGTTTTTGACAGCGCCCTCGTTTGTTTATGTGGCAAAGTAAGAAGCAGCTCCCTGATACATATAGAACAGTTGGTACGTCTCATTGGCTTAGCTAGAAAACCCTTACTGTACGTAACGAGCTTTTACTCCAGTAAATGTTCCAATTCTTTTACAGGCGGTTTATGTTAGAGAGTACCCGTTTTCCACCATTTCTTGCTTTGCATTAGTGTGGTCTTTACCTGTTTATGGGGAGCCGGGTAGCGCCACACCTTCAAACTTTGCCATATTTACCTGTATATGAGGAGCCGGGTAACGCCACACCTTCAAACTGTGCCATATTTACCTGTATGCGGGGAGCCGGGTAATGCCACACCTTCAAACTGTGCCATATTTACCTGTATATGGGGAGCCGGGTAACGCCACACCTTCATAATGTGCCATATTTACCTGTATATGGGGAGCCGGGTAACGCCACACCTTCAAACTGTGCCATATTTACCTGTATATGAGGAGCCGGGTAACGCCACACCTTCAAACTGTGCCATATTTACCTGTATACCGGGAGCCGGGTAACGCCACACCTTCATAATGTGCCATATTTACCTGTATATGGGGAGCCGGGTAACGCCACACCTTCAAACTGTGCCATATTTACCTGTATTTGGGGAGCCGGTAAACGGCACACCTTCATAATGTGCCATATTTACCTGTATCTTCACACAGTGTCGCCTTTAACTGTATGTGAAGATCAAAACGCTTTACCTTAAGACGGTGCCATAATTACCTGTTCGTGGTGGATAATAACGCCAAACCTCCAAATACTGTAGAACACCGAAGAATGCATTTTTCAAAAGGTCCTTTCTCTGTCGATATATTTTTTTCAACGTTCCGTATGACGCATTCGTACAATAATATTTCGTATTGGATTCTTGGGGCAGCAGTGTTTGCACTGGTTTTGTGTGTTTTATACGCATTACTTAAGAAACTTAAACTGTGATGACCCGAATGGATATAGACAATAGACTTAACATAAAGCCATGTTCGTATGCCCCTTTGGGTGACGGTTTTTATTTTAATTTATCCAATATTTTCCTAGGTTATAAAGCTTTTTTCTGCCCAATTAGTCAACGAGTAATGCTGTAAGATGGGACTTTAATAAAACAGCACTTTAATAGAAGCATACCTTTTACAGTAAAACAATCAATGGCAGTTCTTTTCAGTAACACACATGTATACCTCGCGTTCTCATAAAACATTTACCAAAAGCAAACATGAAATTATACCATTAGCAAATACTTAGTCGCCCACTGAATTAAAGTGATTCCAACCGCACAGTCACGGTGTATAATGTGAAGCACCGTTATTACCTTTTCTCAACAAGGAGTGGTTACATCGATAAGGAAACAGTTAAATAATTGAGAAGGCAATTTAATTTGTTAAGTAACGTCTCTCTAGCCCACGTGCGTATAATGGATCTTGTATATTCAACTACTGAAACAGTATAGGCCTTAAACTATAACAAAATAGCATTTTAATGGCCTTTTTCTTTGTGTCGAAGTGTTGGCTGATAATAAAAAAGAAAACTTTTTGAACATTTAACAAGCGGTACACGGTGTGCTGACCCCAAATTCGCTGCCAGAAATAAAGATGTAAGTATATACCTAACGTGCGAGATAATGCCAAACAGCTTATCCCGTGGATCGAGGCGTAGACCTCAAACAGAATACAGATTTGGTGAATACATATAGACATTTATAATAAATTCATTTGTATATTATACCACGATGCTTACCTACCCCAAAGTCTGGGACAGGAAATGCATTTTACTTTATCAAAATCCTCAAATGCATAGCAAAATAAAATTGTTGCAGTTCTTATAATTTCCTCGTGGGATGATGCTATTGCTTTATTTGTCCAACTTATTACTTTATAAATGGACAGTTACAGACAGTGCAATAAATATCCCAACGACCTTTATAAGTGACCACTCACACAACGACGATGTGCTCCTAAAGCCCACTTCCCACAAACTTACCCAGGATATATCGAAAGAGTGTGTGGGTTTTTCTAATATTTTCTTCTGTCGATTCTCTAGGCAGTCGATGATTTCTTTTTTTCTCGTGGAGACATTTTTATGTTGTATGGTACAGGGACTAAACCGTAGCCAGGGGGGTTCGGGGGGTTCCAAAGAACCCCCCTTTTTGAAGGGAAAAGGTCCCCTCTGGGTGAAATTGAATTAAGGAACATGAAAGTTTCATGTTAAAAGGACCACTTTTTCAGAAAAAGAACCCTCTTTTTGAAATTTCTGGGTACGGGCCTGCTAAATGAATTTGTCTGGTATCGGTCATAAGCATATCACTCGTCTGTGAAGAGTAGGGGAGATGCTTTCAGAACATCATCTGCAAAAGAGTTCTACAGCAAGGAAAAATGAGTCCTTTTCTTATCACAAACGTTCAGACCCCCCCCCCCTTCCCTCAGTATCAATTATATCACAATACTGTAATAGATAATAAAACCAATCTTTAAATCAATGATAAAATAAATGAAGCGTGAGTTTTATTTGGATATTTTTTAATATCTGCTATTGAGTATACTTGTACACCCAGACCATGCATACAACATAAACTTCACACATCCTCCAATGTGTCACCACACGCAAAGCAGTAACATTACTGCACTTCTTTTAAGAGTTTTCAGGTATCCTCACAGGTGCGCGTTTGCCTTGGTGCTGTTGTCAAGGACAAATGTCACCATTTCCCAAGTTTCGTCTAGATTATTGCCGCTTCCTTGCACTCGCAGTATTTAATAATAATAATAATAATAATAAAAATAATAATAATAATAAGATTTTTATATGGCGCCTTACATTCTATCTCAAGGCGCCTTACAATAATGGCTAATATACTAAAATCATTTAAATGACTACAATATTTTAATCATAAACTCTCATTGGAAACCATTTAAAATTTACACTACTAAAAAACCAATCTTATTAAAGTACATATATATTTTTTAAAAAAATCTAAG